CTTTAATGAGCAGCTGGATTTGTCTCACATTAACTGGCTGGACACAGAGGACATTGAAATGCAGCTGATTGAACTGGAAAGTTTGACTCTGTGGGGTTGCAGAACTACGAACGCAGCTGGAATCCATAGCTGTGCGTGTTCATGGAGCTTGTATTTTTCACCTGCTGGACATCACTACCCGACTAGTTTAACTGTCTTCAGAACAATACAGAGGCCTTATTGACAGTACTTGGCTCTACATATCTGTGTGAGCAGATTTTCTCTCTTATGAGTGTCCTCAGGTAGCCATCTGAATGCTGAACACTTGGAGACCTGTGTCTCTGAGTGGGAGACCAGACACACATTAACATGTGTATCCCTGTATTACCAAACATGCCATTTTGGCCCAGTTTATTTTTCTTATCATTGTTGTGAGGAGACCATAAATAGCATTTGTATTTTCTGCTTCACAGTTCATTTGCTGTTATGGAGTTCTTGTTATGAATAAAAAGAGTCTTTTTTTGTTTCAAAATAGCTGATAACTATTCGCTGATAGCTGCCAACATCTGCAAACAAATATAATTCTATAAAGTTGTTTTATATAGTGTGTAACTGTTAATATAGAGTGTTATTAAATCAAATTTAGTAGAGTCAAAAGCGCCTCCTCCACTCCTCTATTGGGCCTATATGCAAATTGCATTGGATCCAGCTGATGTTCAATCTCTTCCATAATCAAACTTCTGGTGATTTTCTGAAGACTTTCATCACAACTGAGGTGAGGGCAACTAGCCTGAAGTCACTTAGAACTGTTGGATGACTAGATTTAGGGACAGGAACCACAACTGCTTCTTTCCAAAGAGAGGGCACATGTTGTGTTTGCAAGGATTTATAAAAAATAACCTGAAATATAGGACTGAGTTCTTTAGCACAAGATTTAATTAGGCGGCCAATAATGTAATCAGGACCCTGACTTTTGTTCACATTAAATATATGAAAGGACATGAGTTCAATGATAAAGTGCTGAGTATCTCTCAGTTTCTGTTTCAGTTCCAAAATATCCTTGCTAAAATCAGAGGAACTAAAATGAGCATAAAATATATTCAAAGTGCAAAATCTGTGTCTGAATTAAAGCCATCTAAAATGATCTGACTGCTGCTCTGGGGATTTTGAAACCCTGCTGTGGTTTTCATACAAGTCCAGGCAGACCCCAAATTTTTTGCAGCAAATTTGGTTTCTAGAAGGTTTTTGTAGCTCTGTTTTGGTTTCAAGATCTTGACTTTCAGGTCTTTGGTGGCTGTCTGAAAGTCAGTAACAGCCCCCTCTCTAAAAGCCTGTCTCTTTTTCCGTAAACAGGATTTGACGCTTTTGATGACCCACGGCTTATTGTTAGGGTACACTTTAACAAGCTTACGGGGTATAATTATGTCTTTACAAGATAAGATATTAACAGTATCACATAAATAGCTTTGAAAGCTAAAAATTACAATACAGAAGCTCAATAAATCCAGACTGAATGTAGGTTTTGTGGTATGAGATTATAAAGATTAAAAAACAGTCCTTGAGGCAACAGAGCTAAAACAGATGTTAACACATTTTAGAGGATGCTTTCAGTTGCATGTCTAGTAAGTGGTCAGCATCTGTTTATTATCCATAGCCAGCATCATATCATC